GACGTTTCTGCTCTAAAAAGTGATCATCAGTGATTTTTAACTAAATTTTTCTTTCATTCGGGCCTAGATATGAACCTGTATTTCATAAACTGAAAGGAATTTGGCAACACTGTAAATGAGTCTTGAATGAGCATTAAAAAAGGCAACTTTTTCCTAATTTAACCAACCTTATAGCTTTTACCCCTTCGGATATAGCAATAGTGGTATCACCTAACATATACACCCTGTATATCAAGGCAAAAACATATATTTTGAAAAAAAAAAAACAAAAAGCGAGAAAAAAAATAAACTGAACCCATTCAGGAGATATTTGAGATCTCCTTTAGACCGTCATGACAAAAAATTCAAAACAGCCTTTATTTTTATTTTTTTAAATTTCAAAGCATCCTAGCTGGAAAACGAAGAGCCTGGGAGAAAAACCTTAAATACAAAACCTGTGGATCTCATTCAGGTCTACAAAAAAGCTTATTAGAGTTACCCCTCCACGGGGCACCGTTTTTGAGAAAATCGACTTCAAAACTTTTAATACATTTTCAGAGAAGTTTCAACTTTGACGGATTATATCTCGAAGACAGAAACAACCTGGAATATCCATAAAAAACAATTTTGTAGGTAGAACTTCGTTGACCAGGCAGAAACAACTACTCCGAGGGCAAACGTTGGTCATTACCTGAAGAAACTTTCTAACAATTTTGTAGGTAATTTATTGCTCTTTGGAAGGAAACCTGATTTGAGATAAGCGGTTCAAAATTACCGAAGTTATAAGCGAAAAAGTGGTGCCGTGTCGGGTCCCCAAAATTTTCCAGGATCAAAATCTTTATTATTTTTTCCCGGGCTTACGAAGCGTCGGAGCGAAAAACACCAAGAGACATTTTCGACGTATTTTTGGCTCCTCTATCCGGCTATTTTATTTTTCGAAATTCGGAAAAATAAATGCAGGGCGTGTATGCACCATTACACGCCCTTCTCTAAAATTGGGGGGATACGGGCTAAAACCCCTCCAGTAGGTCCGAGAGGGCTGAAACTTGGAATATCAACTTTTCTGGACCCCTTTCACCCATAGGTATTCCAAACTTCATCCAAATCGGCCAAAAAATAAAATAATAATAATTTAGGGGCCCCAGAGTGCTTTACTTTCCAGATAGGGGCTCTCCGTGTTATTTTTTTTCCGATATAAAACTCGTACTCCACTGGATTCGTAATAAATTTCAGCTCGATAGGATCATCGGTTCGCCCTCAACGAATTTCTGAAATTTTTTCCATGATAAACTAGGTAAAAAAAGCCAGTGTATTAGGTACATCATGATATATTCATGTGATGTAAACATACCTATCATGAAAACAAACGGAATGGAAAAAATAATCTAACGACTTATTGAAAATACAGGTTCAACAACGAAAACATAAAACACACAAAGGACCCCGCACACTTCTTATGGGATTTCTGACCGCGGTCAAATTCGAACAAATTTTAGTATGTTATAGATCTCATCTTTCTGATCAATAACTATCCTGGGCACAACTTAATCCTATGACTAGTTTGTGAGATACAAGTAAGTCTGTGCACCGAGAGTTTACCCGTAAGTTGTAAAACAGGGCATGGCAATAGATCATGCGAAATATAAAGAGCGGATGGGCTCTACCTGAAAATCTCAAAAGTTTTGTGGGTCATGAAATTTTGTGGAGAAATATATTTTTTAAAATGCAATATATTCATCTAATGCTGTATATAGATTATTATACTTTTGTTATTATTATTATTATTATTATTATTACATATTGTTTACAAGTAAAACATAATTATTATCTAACTTAACACAAAATAAATAGGAAATTGAACAAAAATGAAAATTTTGCATAAGAAAAAATAAAACAAATAAAATAGGTATTTAATTGGATAAAAGATCATTGCAATCGTCATCAGAGGAGTCATTTGCGGATTTAATAATAATTGGGCGTATCTCGTCAATTACGTGTTCCATTTTGTAGGCTGTGAATATAATATTTTTCACATGCTCTATAAACTTAAACCACATTTTTGGGGTCGCTTTAGACAAGCCATCATCCCAAAGTTCCAAAACAGTTTCCGCTGTTGTTGTTCGGCAAGCCCATTTGTCATAAAAACTTTTGGCTATACCCCAAATCCCAAATCAATTTTATGGCATTGAGCTGGCAGTGGTACGGTGGAAGCCGAAGAACTTTGTGACCATATTTGAAAGCCATTTCATCGATAACATACTGCTTTCCTCTGCCAGTACAAGCCTGTTTTATCTTTGCCAATAGGTCAGCCTTTAAATTTAAACTATCGTTCGGAAATCCATGATTATTTAACCACTGCCTTAATTGTTCTTTTGGTGGAAAAGGAGTTTGGAATGATTCCAGTTTGTCTGCTTTGGTATAAGGCATTATCCAAAATCATTAAAGTGGGTTCTTCGAGTCTTTTCAGAAGACTTTCTTCAAACCACTCTTCAAATAACTCTGCGTTCATGCTATTATGGCAGTCTTCTGAATTTGAAGTTGCAGAAAATATCAGACTTGCCCCTGGTATAAATCCATTCTTATTGCCTGCAAGTAGAATCATGTACTGTTTTGCTTTACCCGTTGTCGTGGAATAACAATACTTGGTTTCATCCTGCCACGCTCTTTTGTTTTAGCTCCCTTTTGCAAATATCCATGTCTCATCCAAGAACACAACATTTGTCGAAAAAATGGAGTTTTTATTTTTCAAGTAGTTTCTTGGAAAGGCCCATCTTATACTAATAACATGTTTCTCACATAAAATTTTCCTGTTCTTGGATTGTTTATACCTAAAACCTAACTGTGACAGTACTTTTCTTAAACTTGTTTTTCCTATATAGCATATATCTGTTTCCTCTAGATGGCGCTGCAAAGTATTTAGCGTAACGAATTCCTTTGTTTTGTACATATTTTAAATTTCCTGCTTAATATCGTATTTTACATGGTCTGGTAAGTCATAACTTTTAGAACTTAATCTACTCCTCTTTACCTTCTGGTCAATTTTGCCTTCTTTTCCCAAATTATGGATGTTATATTATAAAAATTTTCTGGAAATTCCACATGTTTCAGCAGTCCTGGGTCCTGATAAATGAACTTTTTTGGTTTCCATTTTCAATCACACTTATATTCTAATAATCACCCAAACAAAACTAAGCTGGCTGGTAGACTTCTATGAATACTTAGTCAGTTGTATCTAAATAACCAATTTATTCAGAAGTAAGTAAGTACCGCCCTACTTATTGTAAACTATGCATTAATTATTGCTAATTGCTACCTGGAAAATCATCAGGTACTAATACTTAAGGTATAATTTAGGCACCAACTTCTACACGTAGAAACTAGGAAATAATAATAATGCAATTAACTAAGTAATAATTATTTAAAATTATTAGCTTATACCTGTATTTAAAGCATGTTTTCTTAAATTTTGATTTCGTTTTGTTTGGGTAGCTCTGGAATTTCGGTATAAATCTTGTTCAAAAACTTTGACAGGCCCTATATTAATTCAGGTGCTGGTGTACCATTTTTTAAAGTTACTTTAAAATATAATTTTGTCAAGTTATATTTATTTATGAAGTAAATTTTGAATAAGCAACTACTCTATATACATTGATTTTCGACATAACTAACTCAGAAACTTTAAAATTAGTTTGAAAAAGGACTTTATAGAACTAAATGTAAATTCGTTTACTTGGTCTTGTACTAATTTATTATCAGCCCTGTGTTTTACAACTTACGGGTAACCTCTGGGTGCACAGATTATAGTTTAATGTCCAAGAAATGTACACATTTGATATGCATTTCATCTACCTGTCACCTGCGCGTGAGGATACCTGTCCATCCTGGTATATTATTAGGTGACAGGTATTTGTGAATGCATATAAAATGTATATATTTCTTGGACATTAAACTACCTGAATCTCACAAACTAGTTATGGGATTGGGTTATGCCCATGATCAGAAAGGTGAGATTTATAACATACTAAAATTTGGTTAAATTTGACCGCGGTCAGAAATCCTATAAGAAGTGTGTGGGATCCTTTGATATAAAAATAAATAAGAACTCAATATTTTTCTACCTACCCACTACATACAATACCTAAATCACTATGGGGGCTCAAGCCCCCATTGCCCCCATGGTTCCGGCGCCTATGCTTTTGATCAAACTGTCACCTTATCGTATTATTGCAAGTGGTTCATGGGAGTACGAGCAAAATTTTTCTTACCTACCTAAGTAAGTTATTTTCTGACTTCAGCATAGCATTACGAAGAAGTATCTCGATGGATTAACAAATACAAAGAATATTTTTAAAATATTCACAATTAAATTTAATTTATCTAATTAATGGAATTCCCAGTATTGGCAGGGCTTATAGAGGAAAAACCCAGGTAGAATCCTATAATCAAGACAATTTCATTGAGATTAGTTTAGTTGAATTTGAGAAGTGCCCCGGCTTAATGGAAATTTGTTAAGAAAAGTTTGTCTCACATAGATTTTATAAATTAAAAATATTTTTTTGAAGTATTTTTTTTTTCTTATTTATTCAAACTCTTGCTACGCCTATGCTCATAACATTTTCCTAGAGAGCTCCAATATCTATTTTTCTGGAGCGGTCAAAAAGTGTTTGTAGCCACTGTAAGTCGAATTGTATGTAACTATTATAAGAGGTAAAGAAATAGGGGTAACCCTAGGTTTAACCAAGCCAGACGTTACTAATACCTTCTCAAAAGTCGAACAAAATTTGCATGCAAAAAATTTCAAATTTGAAATTTCATACCTTGCTTTTGTATTTGTATTTTTATTATATCCGGAGAAAGTAGTTCTGTGGTATAACCAATCTGCTTAAACCGGTACCAGAACAGACTCATCTCAATTATTCGGATTTATGAAGATTTTTGTTTTGCTTATGTAGGATATGTGTTTATAGGAATTTTACTCATGCATAATTATTGGAATTGCATTTTTAATTTTTCGTTTTTAGGGACTCAAGCGAACTTCAAAAACCTACATCCACAAATTCAGCAGTAGTAAGATTCTACAAGTACGTTCAGGCAGCTAGAGATGGCCAGGATCAAAGAGACTGTTTGAGGCTATACCCTGGATGTGCTATTAATACAGAGGTATCTTGAAAACCTCCTTAGAGCTATGTATTATAAATTCAATAAATAATTTAAATATTTTATAGGAAATAGTACCTAAGTTATTGTTTGGTATTATTAGGCATTTCAAAAATATTTTTAAGTTGTACCCTAGATTTATAAACTTGAAGAAAGGGCTAAAGTTCAGGTCGATATTAATTCAGACATTCGAGGAAGAATATTTGTCAGTTTGAAGTGTAAGGAACTGCAACTCAAATTGTCTATTTTCTATAATATTATTTATAAAATCACAATTTAAGAACCACAAAGTTAAAAAAATTATTATTAAAATGTGAATGGCAGCAATCTCAAGTTTATACATCTACCTTATTATTACATACCTACATTAAGATTTATAATGCCAAATACAAAATAAGATTTGTTAATATTTATTGTAAGCTTTTTTCTGTGCCAAGTATTTCTTAAATTATTTGTTTATGTAATTATTTATCGTTTTTAAAAAAATATAGAATTTTAGCTGCACATTATGTATAGGTGAATTTTAGAGTAGATGATAATATAGCCCCCTGCTCAATTTCTATTTTGAGTTGTGCCTTGTACATATGCCAAAAAAAATGAGTTGAATCTAGTTCGAAAATTAACATAATAATTTAAGATTTTTTTTTAATTTTCAAAGAATTATTAGACGAAATTTATAATGGTGCTTGGGAAATATTAGGATTTATCGTGTTTTGTTTAATAATTCAGAACTAGTTTAGTTAATTTATTTATTTGTTGTACAATATAAATTAGACAATGGAAAATTATGTAATTATTTATTGAAATAAAATTTTGTGATAGTATTTAAATATGCATTACTGTATTTCTGTATGGCAAATTTATAGTTAGATTCTTAGGGACGTAGGTACCCACTAAATATATCGTTTAAAAGGGGCAAAATATTTTAATAGATGGATATAAAACTTACCCCAAAGAAAACAATGCAATAGGTAGCTACAAAATAAATTATATTTCTCAAAACAACAAAAAAATAAATGTAGACATACAATATATATTCTCTATACAACTCTGTACCTACTCTAACAAAATTATATTACTTTTTTGTTTTCTAAAAAAATTATGGGGCAAGGTCAGCTTTTTTGAACTGTCAACTAAATTAAATATTTAGATAGGTAGTAATAGACTAGTAGGTATATCTATCTACCTACTAGTTATTTAACTTTCAGTGGATCTAATATTTCCATTATCGACGCAAACTTTCGGCGGAAAGCGGATTGTGAAACCAGATGCTTGATGGTTTCTGGGTGTTGGTCTGGAAAGGGCTGTTAATCGTTCTGCAGCAAAAAGCTGAAATAAAGTCAATTAAATTAATAGGTGCCCTATTTCTAAAGATGAACTCTTACTATTCTCTTTGGAACTTCAATTTTATCAGGATCCTCAGCATTCTTGTCATCTTCTTCTAAGTCTTCTACCGAAATTTCATCTTCCGACTCATTATCATCAATTTCTAGAATATAAAGCCTGACACAATGACCAGTTTTTACTTAAAACTTTTATTGTTACCATCTCTTACTAATAATTCACCATTCAGCATCTGTACTTGAGGTAACATACGCCCAATTAAATTTTTATACCTAGGTTGTCCTTCCAAAGCTTCATTGCCATCCAAAAAGAGGTGAGTGAGCTCCGGACATAAACTCAAAAAATTTAGTGACCCCAGGTGTCTAATAGAATTCCTAAAATTATATATTTTCATTTGAAAGATTGATATCATAAGTGGGTATATTGCATCTCTCTCTTATTAACTTTTCAAAAAAAGCCATTTGTTCTGAAAAATGTTATCTAGTGTTTGTCTTCGAAATTATTTACAATTATATTTATTTATATAGGTACCTATTATTGGTTTATATTTCTGTAAAATTGAATAAAATTTTTATCTTGTTTTTTCACTCAAAATTCTTTCGAAATTAGGAGTACCTTTGTTCTTTTACTTGGCAATTTTTTTTAAATATATTGATTTACCGTCTAACATCTACTATTTTCAAGTTGGACAAAAAAGCACAAGCTGATAAGTCCCTTATTGAATTATCTGCTGCGTACAATTCTTCTAAATATTCAAACCTAAAAAGAGAGAAAAAAAAATCAGTCTTACTATGTTTCTACTCGTTTCGAAAGTATTGTCACGGCTCTAGGGTGCGAGACACAAGCCTAGGATTCGTTTATTCCAAAATCAAAGTCCAATTAACACAACAATAATTTATTTCACGTTACTACACACTCTTACACTAATTACCTCAAACAACTTAACTCTTTACAACTCTTACAAAATTCACTATCTAAATCGTATCACAGTCAATCTTAAAACTTAAAAACTACTAATACCAGCCTTTATATATCCGTAATCTATTCTTGTAAAATCCAGAATAAACGCGATACTCCTCTTTCTTGAACAAGGCAGTATTTTCTAGATTTTCTTGAATTCTGTACACACTGGCGAAAGCGCCACACTGCCCTCCCCTTAAGGTTGATCGTCCCGATCAACTTCACGCCCATGATATTCCGTCAATCTGTCCAGGTGTACAACTTTCATCTTACTCCTGTTGTTGCACTGAACTCGATAAACCAAATCATTGATTCTCTTGACTATCCTGTAGGGCCCTTCTCATGCTGAAGAACATTTCGGCACACTCCTTTCTTTCTTGTTGGATTATAGAGCCACACTAGATCACCTTCTTGAAATCCGACTGAATTGGCTTTCAAGTTGTATCTGGTCTTCATTCGGTCACTGGCCATCTGGATATGCTCCCGAGCAAAATTATGTATCCCCAGAAGTCGTGCCCTTGTCTCGTCGGCATAATAAAAACGATTCCACCTGTTGACCCGTGAAAAGCTGCTCTGTAAGCCATCAAAAATAGAGGCAAATGTTTGTCTCAATCTCGCTGGTTCTTGGCGACCACTTTTGTCAGGTGTTCCTCTATGGTCTTATTAAATCGTTCTACCATGCCATCAGACTATGGATGTAAAGGTATTGTCCGTTTCTTACGAATACCCATAATCTCACAAATTTTCTTAGAGATGGCAAATTCGAAGTTTCGTCCCTGATCTGAATGCAACTCTAGTGGCACACCATGGGCCCGATTCTCGTCTCAGGGAGAGGAGAACTCCCCGAGAGAACAAATTTTTCGTCTTCATCATTCTCGTTCAATTTTCGATTACGTTGACAAGAACAAAAAATTCGTTCTCTCGGAGAGCCCTCCTCTCCCTGAGACGAGAATCGGGCCCCATGACGACTGAAAACTTCGTCCACTAGCACCCTAGCACCTGGGCAATAGTGATGGCTTCTTGATTGGGAATAGCGAAAACTTCTGGCCATTTACTGAAGTAATCCATGATAACCAAGATGTATTTGTTACCACGCTCTTACTCGGGGAACGGTCTGGCAACATCTGTCGCTCTTCTTTCAAATGGGAGACCGACGTTGTACTATTTCATGGGCCCCCGAGATCTTAGTTTAGGGCCTTTACTGGTAACACAGATGTCGCATTTTCGGGACCAGTTTTTAATGTCTCCATATAGTGGACCCAGTAAAAACGTTTTCGAATTTTGTCCAAAGTCTTGTTAACTTCAAAATGTGCCCCTGAAGTTCCGTCATGAATTTCTTTTAATACATCTTCTACTAAATCTTTTGGAATAACTAGCTGGCTCTTCGTAGTTTTCCCATCGACACTTTCCCAAACTCTTTTCAGTAAACCATTTACTACGGCCAGAGAGTTCCACTGAGTCCACAACCCTTTGTAAATCAAACTCTTGTTCGATACTGCCCTGCATTCTGGCCTATATTCATCATTTTCTTCAAGATGTAGAATTTGCCCGATGTCCTGGTCTGCCTTTTGATCTTCTCTCATTTGTTTGGTAGTTCATTTATCATCAACGATAAAACCCGTTCTTCTCACAGCTGGACCAGTGTTTTTCTCATGCATATCGATTCTTTGACAATGTTTGCAATCTTCTTTACATGGCCGTCTAGACAGTGCGTCAGCATTTTTATGCAGGTTTCCAGGTCGATGTATAATTTGGAAATCGTATTGCTGCAATTTCTCAATCCATCTAACAATCTGTCGTCGGGAGTTTTCATTTCTAAAAGCCACTTTAGAGCTGCGTGATCTGTTCGAATTAGAAACTCATGTCCGTAGAGATACTTATGAAAATGGTCCACTGTTTTTACTATGGCTTCTGGTGACACAATAATTTCATTCTGGCTTTGATAAGATTCTGCTGTAGCACTCTACGATAGGCTCTTGTGAATTTTGAATTTGTGAAAGTACCGCTCCAATACTGGTCTTGCTAGCATCTGTGTCCAAAATCAGCGTGCGCTTCTGATCATGATAGCACAACACTGGGCTTGTACATAATGCTCCTTTTAATTCTCTAAATGCGGAATCGCATTCTTGGGTCCAATTGAATATTGATTTTTCTTCCGTTAGGTAATCGATGCAGCAGAGCAGCTATATTGGCGACTCCTTCCACAAATCTTCGATAATGAGAACATAATCCTAGAAAACGCCTTTGTTGATGTCGCGTGGTTTTGGCCATTCCCTGACAGCATCTATATCTTTCCTTCCATAACTTGTATACCATCTTCAGATACCATACCATGGATTGAGTTCTAAGTTGGCATTCCGGAAGCGGTCAGAGACTTCCTTCAGGTTATTGAGATGTTCTTGGAATGAATTTTCCATATTCATGACATCATTTAAATATACCAGGCAAGTTCTCCATGTGAGGCCTCGCAAAACAAGATGCATCAGTCGCTCAAACGTAGCTGGAGCATTACACAATCCGAAAGGCATTACGTTAAACTGGTATAACCCGCTTCCGGTACTGAAGGCAGTTTTCTCTTTGTCATCTTTGTGTATTGCCACTTGCCAGTATCCACTTTTGAAATCCAAAGTGGAGAACCATTTGGAGCCTGATAGAGTTGTTAATGTATCGTCTATCCTCGGGAGAGGGAAGCTGTCCTTCTTGGTATCGCCATCAACCTTACGCTAGTCCACATAAAATCTAAGACTTCCAACTTTCTTCGTAACCAATGCTACTGGCGCAGACCATGGACTATTTGACTCTTCAATAATTCCCTCTTGGGCCTCTTGAAGCATTTTATCAATTTGGTTTTCCCCTTCCTGTTGTTTAGCTACTGGCATACGTCGAGGTGGTTGTCTAATTGGGTGTGCCAATCCAGTATCAACTTTGTGTTGAATTAGACTGGTCCGTCCGGTTTGATTATCCATCACAAATACGTCTGCTTATTTCAAGATGAAATCTGTGGCTTTCTGAAGTCTATCTGGATCGAGGTGCTTCCATGATTTCTCCAAAGTCTGCATCAAGGACAATCAAGGTATCTGTATCCAATTTCGATTTTACAAAATGTTGCTCATCTGGTGGCCGATCCTCGGGCCAGGGAGTAGAGCTCCCCGAGAGAACAAATTTTTCGTCTTTATCATTCTTGTTCACTTTTCGATAACGTTGACAAGGACAAAACAATCGTTCTATCGGGGAGCTCTACTCCCTGGCCCGAGGATCCGGCCACTGGTAGGTCACAGTTCGATATTATTTGCTTAACTGGTTCGAGAGTTCCAATAATATCTCCTTCTTTTATTTTTACTGTTTCAGGAGAAACATTGGTAATTCTTATCATAATGTCTCTATTTGTTCTTACTAGAGTCTTTCCAACGAGAAATTTTTCGGGTTTATCTCCAATAAAATTATGTGTTAGTCCAACGCAGCACCCAGGGTTTGTTTACAATTCTGCGCAAATGATCTTCTCAATTTGCAGGAATCCTCACCGGGTTTTTGACCCGGATCTTACCGGCTTGAGATTGTTCTTGTGTAGTTAGGGCTTTAGGACAAATTCTTCATTACCAAATTTAAGGATTTTCATAGAAGGATCAAAAGAGAAACCATGTTGGCCGATCAAATCTATTCCCAAAATAAAATCATCTTTTATATCGGCAACTAATGTTCTGTGCCTAAAGGTCGTGAACTGGTGCTGATTCGCCCGTGACTGTTCGTAGTGACAGGCTTCTAGTGAGCGGTTGGATTTTGTACTATTTTCCTCAAAATCTCTTCAAATATCTTTCCTGGTTTTTGATTGAAGTTACAAGTACGTCGGTGAAGTCACACATTTGATAACTTGCTTTATTCTTGAATAGAATGTTCTACAATTTTCTCAAAATATCTTTTCTGAATGTCGACTGATATAGGAAACATGTCGGTGAAGTCAAAAATTCGATATCTCCCTTGGTTTTCAAATAGAATTTTCTAGAACTTACTTGAAAATTCACTATCACAGTCCAAATCGGGTATACAGTCACTTGCGGGGTAATATACACAATCGGTTAAGTCTCTTTTTGTGATTGTTACTGCATGCACTGACTTACTGTCCCAGTGTTCACTCAGTGTCCACACTATTCTGCAATCGGATTTCACTTTGCAGTCCTCAAATTATATATCGCACTTCTGACACCAATTTCACGGCTCTAGGGTGCGTGACAGAAATCTTGGGTGCGTTTATTCCAAAATCAAAGTCCAATTAACACAACAATAATTTATTCCATGTTACTACACACTCTGACACTAATTACTTGACTAATTGAATCAAACAACTTAACTCTTCAAATTTTATCACAGTATTACAGTCAATCTCAAAACTTAAAAACTACTAACTAATACCGGCGTTTATCTATCCGTAATCTATTTAAAATCCAGAATAAGCGCGATAGTCCCCTTTCTTGAACAAGGCAGTACTTTCTAGATTCTCAGGCTTGAATTCTGTACACACTGGCGAAAGCGCCACAGTATTGTCTATTCGCTTCTTGATTGTCCACTTTCAAAAATGCGAGTCACCTTAGAAGTAGATTTTGTGGAAGAAGCTTAAAAAAAGAGGTTGACTTGTCTCTCCGCGAATTTATGTCTATCAATCATTACATCCAGATGTTAGGTCCTTCGGAAGAACAAGAATCACTCGAAGTAGAGTAGGTATCGGTTAAATCGGTTTAGTTCAATTTTGAGTGGATAACTAGGTACGTAAGCATTTTCTCGGAGAGACTGAAGAAAATAGATTTTTTGAAGGCATAAACAGTTTAAAGTGTCGCGTCGTTGGTAGTCAAGTGTCCATATCGAATTGTTGTTCAAGATGTCTATTAGCTACATTTCGAATGTGCCAAAACGTTTGGGTCGCGGAAACTATGAAGACTGGTCATTTAATGTCGTATGCTGCTTGAGCTTGAGGGTCTTTCACGATGGTTCGGATACCGCAGCAGACAATGTCGCTACAGCCAAAGCAAAATTGGTGTATAAATTGGATGCTTCGCCACATTAGAAATGTAGGTACGCTGTTACAGGTTTTTATCTGGAAAATAGGTCTGATGCTTACATTTATTTTGCGTCTAGAAAACTTCGAATCAATGGAGTCCTATTTGAACCAAGTTATGGAGGCAGAAGACCGGTTTCAAAATAGATGACAACTGGAATGGCTCTTTTCTGTTGGCAAGACTGGTTGGCAGATTGTCGCCTATGATAGTCGAGATTGAACACAGTGGAATGGTGATTTCTACAGATATGCACGCGGAGGGCGGCACATTTCGTAAAACAGGTGTGGCTTTTGCGGCGCAAACGGGAAAGTCCAAGTTCCTTGGTCAACCTAGAGATCACATCACGGACACACGCATGGAAAATTAAGCTAGAAAGATAATATTTACATGCTATAGATGTAAACAGCCAGACGACTTTATGAAGAAAGTTCTAACAAGCACTATGAGGATAAAGTGCGAAATAACTGTGATTGGTATATAGACTCAGGTGCTAGTATACATCTTACAGCTAGGTAAGATTGGTTGAAAAATATTTGTGACTGTATGATAATTTAGCAAAACTTAAAAAAGTTGTGTTTGTCGAACGAGAACTCTATGTTAATGAAACAAATAGTTCAGTAATTCGCAAGATTTATCTTCTTGACAATGTAACGAATGTGGTCTACCAAAATTATTAGCACTTTGAACTAAAAGATTTTATTACTATATGAAGAAGTTCAAACCCAGTTCGATTTAACAAGTTGTTATAGTTAGATGTCATGTAAATTATTGTTGAAAGCGCATATTTTTGAGCCGAGGGTCAATTTAACTGGTCTTAATAATTAATAGTTGCTTGTCGACAAACAATAAATTATATCTAGTATGTGAGTTAAACTGAACTTGGGTAGGCCATATAATATTTATAATTTGAAATTACCTAGATCTACTATTTCACAGTTCAATTTGACAAATTTCGGTCGGCTTCTACTTTACCATTATATTATTGTCACCTCACAGAATAATAGTTTATAATAAAATAGTTCCATAATTTAGAATAACTAATATCTTCCTTCCTTTAGAAATAAAAGTGATGCATTATCAACATTGGTGACGCAAGAATGAAATTTCACTCCTATATTAATGGGTTATTAACAGGTTTGATTTTCAAATTCAAAAATAATCCAGAGGTTAAAAGATCCTTACCCAAGCATGCCATCAATACAAGGCAATTGACACCTATTCACTCTAAGGATTTTCAGGTTTTTCAATCCATAGCCAAGATCACGCAATGAAGATATTATGCTCCCATCTAAAATAAGCTCCCGCAAAGCTGGCAAATAAGCTCCTAATTGTTGCAGAGCCAATTCCCTGGCTATGACTCTAAGTTTTATTTGAGTTACAGTTTCCAGTTGTTCAGTGTTTGATACTTGAACCTAAAATTAGTATTATGTTATTACTTTTTTATTTGATTAAGTTTTTAGCATGAACTCACCAGAAGCTCACGAATATTGTGTTCCATTGGAACATAATTCCTAATAGCTGCAGCTACTACCGCTACGGATATTTCATCAGATTCAAGAGGTACTTCTTCGTTTTCATTCACTTCACTTTCAATCGATTCAATCTCATCAGAATAGGATGTCGAGGCACTCATATCTGATAGTGGAGTAAGTGTCAGCGTAATGTGGTCATTGTTGGGGGGCTCTACACTCGAATAGTCCGGCATTTGATCTTCTAAATTTGGACTCATTATATTTATTTTTGATAAATACCTAAGCTAAAAGGAAAACAATACGCGAAGTGTTGCTGCTATGGTTACAGGATCAACGGATCGATTAAATGCGCAGTGAAGAAGTCCGATATAAAATAATGTCTGTCCTTTTCCATTTTATCGACACAATCTATCTACCTAATTGGTATTGGTTTCTTTTTAAGCTGTTGTCAAAGCTAAAAAAATAAATTTGTAATCTTTGTGCCAGATTTTATAATACATATTTTTTTGAAATTTAAATTAGAACGACTCCTGTTTTGGAACATTCTAGTGATCTAGTGATACGTATGTTTATGATACTTAGTGTATGATATCATGTTTAAGTAAAAATTGAATTGAATCTGCCAGCTCTGTCTTGATGAAAAACCAATCTTGAATATAACGGAATTTTATTTACATACTCGTGTAAAAAATGTACGTACATAGCATTTAAATTTTCATGAAAAAATAATGCTCACCCATAACTTATTGTTATAAATGTCTCAAGATAGGAAAATTGTGCACAGTCTTGCAACACTGCCTGATGACTAGCAAATTCGCCAATGAAATTTTACCGCGCAGTCCATTTAATTTTAGACGCTAGACGAACGAAAGTGATTTATCCAGATAGTTCTAAGAGATGACGAGGATCTATAAACTGCCAAGGGAGATTCGGTGATAAATTGGAAGCCAGTGTGTCAAGAATCAGTTAGAGAATTGAATTTGAATAATTTAATAATCGGATAGTTATTGGAACGCGAGTCGATAGTAAGACAGGAAGTTATGATAAGGTTGTGATTTAGTTTTGTGACTGGTTAAACTTGATTGTAGTTTAGCCGAAAGTTGTTCCGTTATGATTTTCATGTCAGAATTAAGGCAAATTAATGATCAATGGTAAAATAGTCTCACTTATCCGCGAATCTACTTAGGTAATTAGTGTCAGAAGTGGGACTGAGTTAAGAAATGTTCGCCTATGGTGGAAACGAGAAAACAGACTGCCCAAATGGGAGATCAAATTAACCAGATAGTAGACCCTTTAAGCAGGTCCTCAATTGCAAGCGTACCCGTATCCGCATCCATCCGCGCATGTGCAGAATAGATACGGTGGTTTGGTTGCGTTATGTTGTCCGTATCGTTACGGGCCTAGCCTCGTATCCGTCTCCAAAAACGTATCTCAACATTTGACACTATTGACAGATCTTCCTGTGAGTTGTCACTGAATATCGATGGCTCAAGCTCAAGAGAAGCTCAAGAGTCATGAGATTTTTTCGTGGTTATTTTCCTAGGCCTTCAGCTTAGCCGCCTTGTCATCGACAGTAAGTGAGAGGTCTTCTTCTTCTTCTTCTTCTTCTTCTAGCCTGTTTCGGTCCACTGCTGGACATAAGTCTCTTCCATCATCTTCAATCGGTTCCTGTGTTGGGCCGCCAGGATCGTTTTTTCCAGCAATCCTTTGAATGTCATCACGCCACCTTGTTTGCGGTCTTCCAATGTTTCTTTTTTAATCTCGTGGCCTCCATTCCATGAGTATTTTGGTCCATTTGTTATTGTTGTTATGGCCACATGACCTGCCCAGCGCCACGTCAACCTTGTCACCCGTGCCACCGCATCGTCGACTTTTGTTCTCTGCCGAATGTCTTTATTTTGCACCCGATCTCTGAGGCTAATACCAAGCATTGCTTTTTCCATGACGCGTTGACAAACTCTCAACTTGTTAGCACTTGCATGTGTCATAGTAACTGTCTCGAAACCATAGGTCGCTACTGGTAAAATAAATGAGTTGTAGATCTTATGTTTCAGACTAATCGAGACATCCGGGTTTTGAAGATAATAACCGAGTTTTGAGAAGGCTGCCCATGTAAGACCCGTTCGGCGATATATTTCAGCAGTTTGATTGTCTTTGCCGAGCTTAATCATATGGCCGAGATAGTTATATTCGTTCACCACTTCGAGAGTCTGATTTTCAATAGTTACGTCGACATTGCCTGAGCTCATTATTTTAGTTTTCCGGATATTCATTGTCAGTCCTACTGCTTTGGATGTTTGTTTGTTACAAATTTATTGAATTATTTGAACTTTAAGACAAGATAACCTAGGGTCGTGGAATTCAAAAATTAAGATAACGTGTAGTCCCTTTATGTGCAAATGAAACTACTCAAAATCCAATAAACAATAATTTTATTTCGTTTACAATGTTGTGTAGTAACCAGAGATAAGTAGTAACATATAGTAACAGTCAATGTTACTCTGTAAAATTTTAGTGTTGACAGTGTTGACAGCTTGGTTTTTCCCGTGAATCTGCTACCATGTACCTTTCCAATCCGGTGCTCTTCAATGGGTGTTGGGGTTTCACTTTCGTGAACTGGACCTCTTCTTTTTGTTTCCTGTATCTAGGAAGAAGAAAGATTGCTGGGGTGACGTCACTCCAGCTGATCCAGACTTTAAACAGTGATCTTTATGTGGAGTAGGTCCCCAGAAAAGAATAAGGCAGTTTCAGGCTCACCAATATTTAATCCCTGAATTCTGTCAAAAAGTGAGTGTCTTGCAAAGAAATTTTGAATTGAAATTTATTATAAAACTGTTGTTGTACAGACACTCCTTTCCACCAGAATCAGGTATGAACAGCTATTGCAAGTTGAAAAAAAAAAAAAATATATTTTAATATATAAAAAAAATAACATATAAAATAATTGAGAATAATGGTAAGATAATAATAAAATTAAAATAATAACAACAAGATTAAATTAGAATGCTCGTTATGATTGAGCAAAATGCTGCTTTTCTGACAGTAGCACTAGCAGGCAATAATATGAACAAAATAAGGTGAAACAATAAGAAATTAAATCTTTGGATTCTCCCCCAAATAGATAAAGTTTTCCTTTCAAATTAACGTAGCTACTATAGATACTACAAGATAAACCTGAGGGTGAAATCAATCTAATCCAGAATATGTCAAAATTCTTGAGATGTTTTAATTAAAACTTTTTAACTGAATTTTTGACCTGTCTGGATTTCTATTAAAAAAAATTACCCCCTTTATTCGAGATAATAATTGACGCAATCTAACAGAAAATGGCTATTCTGGCCTCTGCCTGGATTCAATAAAGAGTTGATAGGGATGGACACACAAATTTGGTTTTCACCGAATCTATTTAGAGCAAATGGTCCAATATTCCCACACTAACAATTGATTTTGAAAACCAGAGCAGCAGTACCAGTCCAAAAGTCTGAATTGACTTACCTCAAAAAAAAACGTGGCACAACCAATCAGCACTCACACAAAATGGAAGCCAACAATTAGATAAAAGAAATAAAATATAATATTTATATTTCAAGAAAAGATAAGATAAGTTTTATCAGGTAAAAACTTAACAATGATGATTATATGAATTGATAGCACAATATATTGAAAAATCTATGAGGGAGAATCCAAAAAATATAGAGCAAAAATTATTAAAAATAAAAAGGACCAACCTGCTAGACTACTGTCGAGAAAAGAGAACGTTTTGGAAACCAAACCCCACAGGAAAACGATCCAGTGTTTTTTATACTTAACTGCATTTTAACCAGTTCAACCAATCAGACGAGTACACCCAAAAGATCATATTCACTTTACAATGAAATCACAATGAAAACCCACGTGGAATAAAAGAGAATAGATAAAAATCCACTAGAATTATTTTAATTGTTTACAAATTATAATAATTTAAATTAAGGTTATGTTAAAAATAAAAAACTGCTAATTAATTAGGTCATTAAGCCAAAAAATGATTATTTCAGAACCAGAAGTTGCTAAAAGTGAGATAAATATAATTTCTTTGAAAGAGAATACAAATGAATATCAAATAAAAATAGCCAAGAAAAACTATCACAATTAAAAAAAAAAAAAAAACTCATCCGGCACTAGATGGCAGCACTGGTAAATGAATAAAAGATATTTGCATTTTACGCACATGATGGATAGATGGCAGCACTTGTATTATTTTGAACTTTGTGGATATTTTTAGATAAGGAATTATTATTTTGCTGATTCTGAAATGGAAAAAATACAACTTTAAAATGAAAATAAGAAGAGATGGGACATGTTACGTAAATAATAAATTTATCATAACATGTTGTAGGTCCTTTATTATGAGGGATAATTCCTCTGAGTCATTACTAATGATTACGATATCGTCTGCAAATCTCAGATGGTTCAAGTGTTTTCCGTCCATTGAGACACCCTTGTCCTGCCATGGTAACTTTTTAAATATGTCCTCTAGGGCCAATGTAAACAGCTTAGGGGAGATCGTGTCACCCTGTCTGACTCCTCTATTTAATAAAATGTTCTCAGTGGTCAGTTCATCGTGCATCTTGACTTATTATTCTGGTGTATCTAGAATCGATCCTCTCATCATGCATAGCATCCAGAACTGCCCATGTCTCAACAGAATCAAACGCCTTGTGATAATCGACAAAATCCAGATGTAAAGGAATGTTGTATTCTGTACATTTCTCGATCAAGGTTCGTATATTCTGTATGTGATCAGTCGTGCTGAAGCATTTCCGAAAACCTGCTTGTTAAACTGGCTGGTAGAAATCAAACTTAGCATTTAGTCTATTTGTAAGTATTTTCGTCAGCATCAGCTTATACAAGATAGACAGCGGTAATTCTTCAGGTAAGTGGCATCTCCCTTGAATATAATAGTAACTTCTGCGTTTTGCCAGGATTCGGAGATTTGTTCTTCTTCTAGACATTTATTTAGTATTGTTATGTATGTATATATTTAAATATTATAGTTGATGATTATTATAAACAATTACTGAGTGTCAACATACACACAGAACCATAAAAAGTTGTTTATATTAAAGTGGTCCTGGGTTGTTCGACGACTTGCATGCTTGCAGGTCGGTTTTGGGTTTTCAGTAATAAATAGAATTTCACGTAGATTTGTGTCTTTCATTTATATTTGAGTTTCCTATTCAAATTAATAGCAAACTCAGCATTGGCGACGAGTTGTGAACTTAGTAACTCACGTGTATACGTATAGTGCAGTTTTGGTGCAGTGAGAAGTACCTAAGTAGCAG